TGGTGAAATCAGTCGGATGGAACTTGTGTGCGATAATCAAGCTGCCCTTCATATTGCATTAAAGCCGGTGTTCCACGAGAGAACTAAACACATTGAGATTGATTGTCACTTCGTCAGAGAAAAGATACTTTCAGGAGAGATTGCTACAAAGTTTGTGAGGTCAAATGATCAACTTGCAGATATTTTCACCAAGTCCCTCGCTGGTCCTCGTATTGGTTATATATGTAACAAGCTCGGTACATATGATTTGTATGCACCTGCTTGAGGGGAGTGTTAGTTTACAACATGTATATAGTGTAGTATTATCCCACATTGGTAGAAGAGTAGTATGTCCTTGTATAGTCAAGCTATAAATAAGGACCTCTTGTATTGTATTGTTCATTCAATATCAATAACATATTTTCTCCCGTGCCTTCTCACAATAGGTAACCTCCCACCCACAACACAGATAGACTAGGTGGCACGAACTTTCCGGACATCACTATTATAAAAACAAAATGTTATCGTCAAACACCTAGGGGATCTTATGAGCTGAAAGTACGTCTATGATTCTAGAAATTAGACAATACAAGAAACCTATTTTCCTCATTGCTTTTCTTATACATCAGGCAATTTAAATGCTTACTCGGCTGTTTAAAAATGTTAACTTTAGTTGTTGAAATTTTGTGTCTAATCTTGTGATTGGTGGAACTCGAAGAAAATATATGTGGTGGAAATAAGTTTTATACTTGATGTAGAGTTCTTTAATAATATTACTATGATGTGACAACAGAGTGATAGCCTAGTAAAAGGCCAATCACCTCCAGCCATGAGGTTGCGTTTGAGTTACCAAGAGAGCAAACTGAAAAAAAAAAAAAACTATGTTGCTCCTGGGTAGGATCAAGGATGTTTTGTGGCATAAACACATATCAAAAAAGAAAAGAAAAGCTACATCTAAGACTCTTCAGTTGGGCGGCAAATGGACCCTCATCCCAAACATATGTTTGTGGGTGGGGAGATGTTGGAAGATGGAGTCAACTTGCATGCTTTTGTACATGTGTCACATGTTGTAGTTCCTTTTAATTTTAATATTCCGTTATCAATAATTTTATATTTTAAATATAAGCTCAAATGAGGAGATAAATAATACTAAAATGAAACTGAGGAACTGAACAAGCTTAGGTTTAAGGTGCACTTATTGAACAAGTTATATATGAGGTGTCTTGTAAAGTATAGTGTTCAATTTGTATTCTATCGAGACTAACTTAAATCATCTGCAGAGTCAATTGGCAGGTAACTTCGTGCGGACTGTCCAAAGTGTCTATTCAGCTTCACGGGAAAGAACACTAAATGAAGGTATCTTATGTACCTTTGATTGTTGTGGTCTCAGAATGACTTTATGATCACGGGTGGAGGGTTCAAACTTCATCAGTAGCGCAACATTCCCTTCCCCTTTCACGCTTCCTTGGTGCAATAAAAGACTTTATGCTCGTTGTTACCTATTTATATAATTTCTATCATTCTTTTTCCTTTATTAGGGAAATGTTCTATCATTCTATTTTCAGCTGAATGATTGATTAGTTGTTTGTTTCTAATAGGGAAAAAAGAAAAAAAATATTGTCGACCTAGTTCTCAATTTTCAATAGAACTTGTTATGTCTTTCTAGAGTATAGTTGAATTTGAATGTTCTTTCTCAATGGTTCTCATATTGTTTCATGTTTATTGTTCAAAGGGAAAGGTTATTTTAAGTTTTAGAATATGTGGCTTGAACATGAAGGATTCATTGATTTGGTTAAAAATTGGTGGGATTCTTATATGGTGGAAGCTGATATAATTCTAGCAAATAAGTTGAAGCCGTTGAAAGAAGATCTGAAAACGTGGTTTAAGGAGACTTTTGGAAAGTTAGAAGACAGTAAGAATAAAGCTTTGGCAAGATTGGAGGAGCTGGATATGGTGCTTCAGACATATGGTGCATGTTTTTTTTGCCTTTTTGGTCTCAAATGGGTCACCCCTTACACAGTCAAGGATGCTTATAAGAGCTGGAATTTATGGAGAGTTGATAAAGCCATAAGGAAAATCTGGTCAATGGGCTTGTATTTTCTGGTGCATTTGGACAGAGAGAAACAAGAGATGTTTTGATGGAAACTCAACTCCTATAGGTTCTTTAAAGGCTCTGTGTATTGCCAATTTGTTTTGCTAGTTCAAACTGTACCCTATGAACAAGAATATTTTTTGTAAGCTCAAATCAAAATCATGTACTTCTTGCATCTTCTTGATGCATTCTATTGAAATCACTTACTTTATAAAAAAAAAATAAAAAATTGGAGGAGCTGGATCATAATATTAATAGGATGAATATTACCAAAGAGCAGCAAGTAGAATTTAAGGCAGAAAGAATTTCCATTAAGAAACAGCTAGAAGAAGTGGCAAAGGCTGAAGAAATCTCTTGGAGACTTAAGTCTAGATGCTTGTGGATTGAACATGGGACACAAATACAAAATTCTTTCATAAACAGGCAGATGCTCGAAAAAGATTGGGGATGATTTGGTGGAAGATGATCAAGTTATTGAAGCTCACATTATGGATTTTTATAAGAATCTATTTTATGAACCTGAAAAATGGAGGCCTAAATGGGAGGATAATGAAATTCAGAAGATGTCAGATAAAGAAAAGGAGTGGGTGGAAAGGCCTTTCACAATGGAGGAATTGGAAGAGGTGATTAAATCTTTCAAAGGAGACCCTGGTTCTGATGGTTTCAATTTATATATTTTTTCAAATATGTTGGAGTATAGTAAAAATGGACATTTGGAATGCTATGGATACATTTTACAATAAAGGCTCTCTTGTTAAAAGACTTAATGCCACTTCTATTGCTCTAATTCCTACAAAGAAAGGAGTAATGGAGGCGAAAGATTTTAGACCCGTGATTCTCTTAGGGAGTGTTGTGAGAAGGCACGGGAGAAAATATGTTATTAATATTAGATGATAAATACAATACAAGAGGTCCCTATTTATAGCTATACACTACAAGGAAATATTACTCCTCTTCCAATGTGGGACAAGACTACACTATACATATCTATAAACTAACACTCCCCCTCAAGTCGGTGCATACACATCATATGTACCGAGCTTGTTACACATGTAACTAATACGAGAACCAGTAAGAGACTTAGTGAAATATGTGCTAGTTGATCATTCGACTTTACAAACTTTGTAACAATATCTCCTGAAAGTATTTTTTCTCTGACAAAGTGACAGTCGATCTCAATGTGTTTGGTCCTCTCATGGAACACCGGATTTGACGCAATATGAAGAGCAGCTTGGTTATCACACACTAGTTCCATCTTGCTGATTTCTCTGAACTTTAACTCCTTGAGCAACTGCTTGACCCAAACTAACTCACACGTCGCCATAGCCATGGCCCGATATTCGGCTTTGGCGCTAGATCAAGCAACTACATTCTGTTTCTTGCTCTTCCACGAGACCAAGTTACCTCTTACTAGAACACAATATCCAGATGTAGAACGTCTATCAAAAGGTGATCCTGCCCAATCAGCATTTGTGTACCCAACAATCTGCTCGTGGCTTCGATCCTCGAATAGTAATCATTTGCCTGGAGCTGACTTTATATACTGAAGAATGCGAACAACTGCATCACAGTGACTATCACAGGGAGAATCCATAAACTGACTTACAACACTCACCGGAAAAGAGATGTCAGGTCTAGTCACTGTGAGGTAATTCAATTTGCCAACCAACCTCCTATATCTCGTAGGGTCTTTAAGAGGCTCCCCCTGTCCAGGCAGAAGCTTCGCATTCAGATCCATAGGAGAGTCAATAGGTCTGCAACCCATCATTCCAGTTTCTTCAAGAATGTCTAAGGCATACTTCCGCTGTGAAATAACAATACCTGAGCTAGACTGAGCGANTTCAGGAGAGTAGCATCGATACCCCTTTTGTGTTCTCGAGAAACCTAGAAATACGCACTTAAAGAGCACGAGGAGCTAACTTATCTGTTCCTGGAGTAAGGTTATGGACAAAACAAGTGCTTCCAAAGATACGGGGTGGAGGAGAGAACAAAGGTAAGTGGGGAAACATGACAGAGAATGGAACTTGGTTCTGGATAGCTGAAGATGGCATACGATTAATAAGATAGCAAGATGTAAGAACTGCATCCCCCAAAAACGCAACGGATCATGAGATTGTATGAGTAGGGTACGAGCAGTTTCAATAAGATGCCTATTCTTTCTTTCAGCTGCCCCATTTTGTTGAGATGTGTACGGACAAGATGTTTGATGAATAATCCCATGGGATTTCATAAACTGCTGAAATGGGGAAGACAAATACTCTCGGGCATTATCACTATGAAATGTGCGAATAGAAACCTCAAATTGATTTTGAATTTCTGCGTGGAAGGTCTGGAAAATAGAAAACAGCTCAGATCGATTTTTTATCAAAAATATCCAAGTGCACCTAGAATAATCATCAATGAAACTGACAAAGTAGTGGAATCCCAAGGTGGAACTGACCCGACTAGGACCCCAAACATCTTAATGGACTAAAGTAAAAGGTGACTGCTCGATTATCAAGACGCCGAGGGAAATGAGAGCGCGTATGCTTACCGAGCTGACATGACTCACACTCTAGAGCTGACAAGTGAGATAAACCAGATACCATTTTCTGAAGTTTTGACAAACTGGATGTCCCAGCCGTTTATGTAATAAATCTGGTGAATTAGTAACAGGACAAGTTGTAGAAGGAAGACAAGATGTGAGTCCATGTGATTTAGCAAGGATAAGGTAATAAAGTTCGTTTGATTCACGTCCGGTACCAATGATCCCCCCGTACTGCGTTCCTGTATAAAAACATAGTCATCAAGAAATAAAACAACGCATTTAAGTGATTTTGCTAAGCGACTAACAACTATGAGATTAAAAGGACTATTGGGAACATAAATGACTGAATCTAAAGGTAAGGAAGGAAGTGGGCTTGCTTGACCTATTGCAGTTGCCATGGTTTGAGACCCATTGGCCATTGTGACTTTTGGAAGAGATTGAGAATACGAAATAGTAGTGAAAAGAGATTTATTACCAGAAATATGATCTGATGCACCTGAATCAATGACTCAAGACTCAGAGGATGGAAACACTGTTCACACCGGAAATACTGTAGCTCGCCGGAAAATTCCAAAGTTGTCGGAAATTGTCGTAACCAGGATGGATAGACTCGGAATTCCTTTGCGAGCAAGCTATCCTGAAGAAATATTTTCAAAAAATGGCCGGAAAGGTCACTGTTCACGCCGGAAAAATATAAAAGTGGCCGGAATTTGATTTGAATTAGATGGGTAGGCTCGGAATTTTGAGGAGAGCACACTGTCCTGAAGAAGTTTCGCGAACAAATGGCCGGAAAGTGGCCGGAAAGTGGAGGAGCGTGGCGGCTTTTCTGCCGGATAAAATTTCAGGGGTTGGTAGTCGGAGGGTGATCTACCTCGTGGTGGTGTTGGTTTTAGCACAACACCGACAAAAAGTGACTTTCACTTAGACAAGCCTTAGGTCACCGGAAAAATTACACGATGACTAAGTTNATTTCAGGGGTTGGTAGTCGGAGGGTGATCTACCTTGTGGTGGTGTTGGTTTTAGCACAACACCGACAAAAAGTGACTTTCACTTAGACAAGCCTTGGGTCACCGGAAAAATTGCCCGATGACTAAGTTCTTTCTTCCCGGTTAACGCTGGAATGACGCACAACGATCTTTTCTCACTAATGCTCTGATACCATGTGAGAAGGCACGGGAGAAAATATGTTATTAATATTGGATGATAAATACAATACAAGAGGTCCCTATTTATAGCTCTACACTACAAGGAAATATTACTCCTCTTCCAATGTGGGACAAGACTACACTATACATATTTGTAAACTAACAAGTGTTTACAAAATTGTTTCTAAATTATTGGCAGAAAGACTCAAGGCAGTAATAAGCAAGTTGGTCTCCCCTAATTAAAATGTTTTTGTCAAAGGAGGGCAAGTCACTGATGATGCTATGATAGCTAGTGAAAGCGTAGACAATTTGTCGAGGAGAAAGAAAACAAAGGGTGGCATGTAAACTTGATTTAGAGAAGGCATATGATTATGTTAATTGGCAAAATTGACATAATGAGGCTGATTAGTTTTGGTGAGAAATGGACAGAATGGATAAAATTCTGCATTTCAACAACGAAATTCAATATTCTAATTAATGGTAGTCCTCATGGGTTTGTCAGTTCTCACAAAGGTATCAGACAAGGAGATCCCTTGTCACCTTATTAGTTTGTCCTGGTAATGGAAATTCTGAGCATCATTTTGAGGAAAGCAGAAGTTATGGGTTGGGTTAGGGGTCTCAAAATAGGTAGGAATGACCAGGAAAGTATGATTTTTAATCATATCTTGTATGCTGATGACTCTTTCTTATTTTGTGAAGCTGATAGAGTCCAAATCTTGTATTTGTCTATTTGAGAGCGGTTCTTCTGAGCTTTGAAGCAGTTACTGGGCTAGGAGGCAACCTAGCAAAAAGCAACATCATAAAGTAGAAAAATTCCCTACTATCTACTTGGGATTGCCTTTAGGGGTGAAAAGGAAAGATAAGAATATTGGTATGGAGTCATTGAAAGGTGCAATAAGAAGCTTACTCTATGGAAGAAGCAATACCTATGTTTTGGGGCAGGCTGACACTAATTAATAGTGTCTTGGATGGGATACCTACTTATACTATGTCCTTATTCAGTACGCCCAAAGCAGTTGGAAGGAAACTAGATTCTATAAGAACTCTCTGTGGGATGGAAATTCAGATAAGAAAAAGACACACATAGTCACGTGGCAAATAGTTATTGAAGATAAGAAAAAAAGTGTATTAGGAGTGAGCAACCTGAGTTTACACAAAAAAAATCTGCTTTTCAAGTGGCTATGGAGATACAACAATAGGTGACAGAATATGATAGATGCTATCTGTGGTGCAAAGTGGGTGGCAACAAAATCCTTCACAGTTGAAAAGTTGTGGGGGAATTTGGAAGATGATAAGCGGAGGGTTGGATGAATTCCTATTGCATACTAGACTGGAGGTAACTAATGGTGGCATGATAAAATTCTGGCTGGATACCTTGTGTGGAGATGAGAATTTCAGAAGCAGGTTCTCAGAGCTATTTAATTGTGCTGTGAATAAGGAAGGTACTTATTGCAGACTTTAATTCAGTCTCTGGGTGGAATGTTACTTTCAGAAGGAACTGAATTCATGCTCACTGGATCAGAACAAAGTAGATAAGATAATTTGGTTTAACAGCAAGGATTCACAGTGAATAACTGTTATAAAATGTTGAAACAGGAAAATAGTCAGGGAACATCTGAATTGGCCTTGGAAGATGATCTGGAGAACTAAAACACTAGTGAAAACAGCATTTTTTGGTTGGCTAGCAGCTTGGGATGCTTGTCTAACTCAGCACAAGTTGCAGAGAAGAGGTTTCTACTTGAATAGCAGATGTTATCTTTGTAGTTCAGAAGAGGAGACAGTTGAGCACCTTTTCTTGCACTGTATATTCTCAAGGCAATGCTTGGAACTTTTCTTGAGCATAATGGGCATATATTTGGTGTTACCACAGAAGATATGCAACTTGTTGGAAATATGGCTATCACAGAAGGTCAAAAGAAGCTTAAAGCAAATATAGAGGACCATTCCAAATTGCATTCTGTGGACCATATGGTTGGAAAGGAACAACGCATGCTTTGAAGGAAAGAGGCTGCAGATTCCCAGAGTTAAAATAAATGCCTCAAAAACTTGTACTTCTTGTATTATGGTAGTACTGTAGATAAGATGGATCAGTATTTGGATTTTTTGCACTTACTAGGGGGCAATATGTAGGATGAACTAATTAAGAGTTGCAGCTATCTTGTAATTTTCTTTTGTACCATCTTGATACCAATTAAATAAAATCTTTACATATCAAAAAAAAAAAAAAAAAAATCCCCAAATGATGATAGTGATAGAATATGTAAATTGTTAGATTTTCCCACATTGGTTGAGAGAATGAATTGTTGTCTCTTATATGGTCATGAATAATCCTCACCTCATGAACTAATTTTTGAGGTCCATTTCCTTACATCGTATCCGAGCCAAACCCATTTATCTTCTTGGTTTATCGAATGATGGGCCCCATGTTATGTTGTCCATTCCCCAGTTAACTAGGCATGTGCGTGCGAGAGATGATGAGAGAATGCACTGTAGTCTCTTTATATGATTTTTTGCAATTCTCACCCCTGAGCTAGCTTCTGGAGTTGAGTGAGGTACAAGGATTTTTCTTAACATAAATAAAGTAACCAATTAAAAAATAAAAGAAGATGCAAATGAAATAATAATTTTTGTTCTTGTTGGTTGGTGACAACTATATCCTGATATGTTTGTCAAGGAAGAGGTTTTGTTGAAGGACCAAGTATAACACTGCAGTTAGAGTTGCGTTATTCATGGAGCTATTATAGCTTGTTGGATAGGTTAATCTTGTTAAGATTTCATAGAGGTGCACAAGCTATGTAGGTATGTGCCTATGTAGCACCAATTTGGTTTGAGAATATGTTAGATCGCTCTTTGATATCAATATAATTTTTAAGTATGGAGTTGTTTCTGATACACTTATTTACTCCCCCTTCCTGCAGCATATAATGGTATAGAGAGTATGATTTATGCATTAGGAATTGATGGTGGTGATTCAATAGCTCGTCCAGCTTTGAGCCTCTATACAGTATGATTCTTTATGGCTTATGCACACCTCTACTAGCATGATATCATTCTATGGCTGAATATGTTACTTTCAGATAGCAGTTGAGAGGAATTTCACAAGGGGGCGTAGGAAAGAGCAAGTTGAGGCTGCTTGTGTTTACATTATATGTAGGTGAGACATTGTGTTTTATGATATATTCTTTTAAACCTATTTATGTTCCCTAAGGGAAAGAAGAAGTGGGATAATGATGACAATAATATTAGAAGTTCTGTAACAAGTCTAAAACGTACTCCCAACTAGTTGATATCACCTCTATAGATCTTTTACTTCTATTCCGTCCTATCTTTAGCTAAGTTTGCATTAGTTCCAGGGATTTGCAGGTTTCTCGACACAACTTCCTTCCATGTGCCTTTAGGTCTACCCTATCCCATTTTAACACTGTGAGAAGGCACGAGAGAAAATATGTTATTGATATTGAATAAACAATACAATACACGAGGTCCTTATTTATAGCTAGACTATACAAGGACATACTAATCTACTACCAATGTGGGACAATACTACACTATATACATGCTGTAAACTAACACTCCCCCTCAAGCAGGTGCATACAAATCATATGTACCGGGCTTGTTGCATATATAACCAATACGAGGACCAGTGAGAAACTTGGTGAAAATATCTGCAAGTTGATCATTTGGCCTCACAAACTTTGTAGCAATCTCTCCTGAAAGTATCTTTTCTCTGACGAAGTGACAATCAATCTCAATGTGTTTAGTTCTCTCATGGAACACCAGATTTGATGCAATATGAAGGGCAGCTTGATTATCGCACACA